TTTGTTCTTCCATTCCCCTCTCCCTTCTTGTATATTGCCCCCTCCCTAGCACCCAAACTATCCTGCCACACACACTCTTAAACTAAACTTCCTCTTGAAATCTTGTTAGCCAGTCACTTCATGCCTTCATTTCCCCCTCATTTTAGGTAGCCAATGTCTAAGTTGCCCGTCCCTATCTACCCTGTATACAGAGGGGATAGCATTGATACTTGATATGAAGACTCCTTCCCTCTCTGTTGGTATTTAGAGCTCCTACCTCCATGAATATAGGTCAAATTCATCAAATTGTAGCAATTTACCCTCATTTCCTTTATCAAAAATCATTATCTCTTTTATCTTCCTTTAGTCAAGTTCTGATTAGCAAGCCATCAAGACTAGGTCAAATGGATACTATCTGCAAGTTTGGGTGTTCTTATGTGTCTCCCTCCACTTCATATCAGTTGGATGCTTTATTCTCAGCTCTAGCCCTCTGTGCCTGTGGTCTTGTCCATGGGCTCAGGTGTCCCCAGGTCTCACCACACTTTGGACCAACTGGCCCTTCCTCTTTCTCTCTCTCATCTCCAGGTTAGCGGGAGTTTAGGGAATGTGGTTGAACTCAGCCCATTTCTTCATTGCTGCCTTTTCTATATCTCTTTTAAGAGCCAGAAAATTGCCCACCCCAAAAGCCACACAGACAAACTCAGTTGAAATGTCCCTAAATCTCCTTAGTAGATTTTTCCATGTTTCTCTTTGGCTAGAATCATACCCTGTGACCATGTGCAACTAACTACTGGTAAAAGGAATGGGATGCCTATGAGTGGCTTAGCCTGCGTAGGATTTACTCATAGGCTAGGGCAGGGTCCTTTTGTCTGTTCATAAGGAAGAATAAGGCAATAGCTGTAGAGCCTCTTGTCCAGAGGAGATCCCTTGTAAGTTCTTCTAGTCTTTGATTTTGGCTGATTGATCATCCTCTTCAGGAAGTTAGTCATGCTCCTGACTCTGTTATACCAGTAAACCACTGCTGCTCTCCACTTAGGGCCACCCTACACTAATACTGCTACTCAACTGTAGCCCACAGCTACTAGACTTGTTCAGGCTTTCTGGGCACCAGCCTAGGCTCCTGATGGTCTTGCACTGCTGTTCTCACTTTGCTCACCTCCAGTGGGTGGGTGTGGTGTTTTCAGAGGATGCCCATGCCTGAGTCAGTGTGATGTTCTAGGTCTGTGTTGATTGGCCTCTTATTTTCTTGACATCCTCTGGGCCTCAGCCACTCTGGAGACAGGGTCATTACAGGCCTCACCTCCCTGGCTTACCTCGGCCTCTGGCTTGTCTCTGGCCTCCGGGTTGACCATTCCTAACACTGGAGACACACACATTCTCTAGGCTCAGGAACCGCTTTCTCAAACGAGAGTTGCATTGAATTGCAATATGAAAAACAAAATGAAAGCAGTATTTTATTAGTAAAATTTTATTTTATAAGTTCAAATCTAAAGTATTTGCTCATTATAGAGTCAATCAGAGAGAACAATGAGGCTGTCTTGATGAACACAAAAACGAAAGTCAGGGTTATGGTTGACAGCTGCAGTCTTGTGTCAGCCTCAGCATCCAAATGATTTCCTTCTTATTGCTTTGTTGCTCAGTCTCAAGCAATACTGTTTCAGAAAGATAAGAACTAGCACATAATAGAAGCTTTATACGAAGCCTCCATGCAATATTGGGAAAGTCTCCAGTTAAAGTGAGAAAAGGAGTGACAGGAAAATTTTATTTCAGAGTTGACTTTCACACAATATCTAAGAACAGGAGGGCAGGGTTTCTTGTTTTTAATTATAAAATCCAGACAAGGAGTACCTAGAGCTTAAAATAAGCACTAAACCAGGCCAGCAGTCTATTAGATATAATCTTAAAATCTGAAATTACAAAGCACCTGTTTGGATCCCAGGGCTTCTATAGAAGGAAGTCTGAGATATTTGGCATGCCCTCTCAAAGACCAGCTTTCCCAACCAGCCTGCCTGAAGCTCTCCATCTTCCTCTACCTGCCCTCAGTACTCTCCAGCCATCTCCAGCCTGACTCTGCCCAGATGAGTTCTCACAGTATAGGAGTCATGTTGTATCCATCACATCTCTCACCCAACATCAACCTCAGGTGCCTCTGCTGTGCTGCCCACAAGGGTCTATCTCAGGGAAGCTCAGTTGTCAGCAAACCCCTGCTGGTCCATCAGCCCCTGGGCTGCCAGTGCTCTTTGCAGAATGCCAGTCAGGGGAGTCCAGGGGCTTGGATCTGGAGGATTAAGAACTCTCTCAAACCACATGTAAATCTTGCCCTAAAATCCTAGAGATTCAGTGACAGTACTGAATCCTGTTATAGATGCTTTGCTTTGGGAACAATGCTGATTACAATGATAATGATAAAAATGAGAGCTAAATAATACTCCTTGTTTTAACATTATTTAACAGGCACTTTGCTCAGAACTCTCTCAGTCTTCACACCAACCCTATAAAGTTTGTAAAATTTTTCTTCCTATTTTGCTATGCAGAAAATACGACTTTAGAAAGGTTATCTTTCAAATATCACATAGTTGAGTCGCTGGTGTGACGCTGTGGGATAAAGTACTGGACCACAAGGTCAGTGGTTCAAACTTAGCGGCTACTTCTTGGAAACCTTACAAAGAGTCATTATGAGTTGGAACCGGCTCAATGGCACTTAGCAACAGCAACAAAATTAAGCTGCAGATCTGGAATTAGAACTCAGATCTCTAATTCAATATATCTAAAAGATGTATTATGTTATACCAACAAAACCTCTTTGATCTAGAGAACTTCTAGTGTGTTCAAGTAGGTTGAGGTAGGCACCGCAATTTTTAAAAGAGTAGCTCAGGGAATCAGAGATGGTATAGGTGCTGTTCTCTGCCATGACTTCTACCAATTGGCACAGCTCATCATGAAGAACTGCTCTATCTTTGCAGTAAGAAAAAAATCCATAGGTTGTGACCCTTCATCAGCGGAAAGAATTGTACCAGCTCCCTTGAACCTGGTCAGAGACCAAGACCTTTGGTTTAGAAACACTACCCCATTCAGACCACCCACAGATACACCCTGTACCAATATCATGTGGGCATTTGGAGTACAGCTGAGAAGAGACAGACATGGCCCCTGTTCCCTCAGAGTTCAGCCAACTTGGGGGCAGTATATCTGGAGAGCTGCCATATGGCCCCCTGTATGGTGGTGGAAGCAGATTCCAAGCAGCTCAAGTTTCCATTGGACATGCCTCTATTGCTGGGTCAGCAGCTGCAACCTGGGACGTGGGCCTGAGAATCCCCTCAGTTGTACTTAATTCTTCACCAAAGAACTGTCTTAATATATGTTTTGTCTCAGTCTACTAAAATCCTAAGGACACAAGTGTTCCATCAGGGACTTACTGGCTACTTATGTGTTTTTTTTAAAAAAAGGAATCCCTGCTGGATGGTACAAATGATTAAGTCGTTGACTGCCAAACATAAAAGCTGACAGTTTGAATACACATTGAGAGATGTCAGAAGAAAGGCCTGACAGTCTACTCCAAACAAAAGGTCACACAGGGGATCACCATGACTTGGAGTTGACTCGAAGGCAAATGGTTTGGTTATATTTTTAAAAAGAAGCTTGATGCAATGTAAATCATTTTTGAAAAATTGTTGAAGAATAGTTACCAAATGCATTCTTTGAAGTCACTGTGCTTCCAGAAGTATAGATGGTAACCAAAATTGATGGATTTCCCATGTGTTGTTTAAATGTAGTCCCTAAACGAAACTCAGGCTGTTTTCTGGTTATGCTTAACTGTGGGAAGAAGAAAGTGACTCCATTGTTGCCCTATAACAGTGGGGAAGATAATACAAAGGCTAGATTCAAGATGGCAGCAGATTGCCAGAGTGACTTTGCTTCCTCTCTCCTCCATTCCAGAGACTGGCCTAATCCTTAAGGGCCAGCCTGCAGAAGACCATGTGTGTGTGAGAACTTGGAAGAAACGCAACCTGGGTAAGCCCAGTCCAGGATTCTGTGTATCAACCCCAGAGTGGATCAGGGCTGTAGAATCCTCCATCTTTGTCCTTTGACAGGACCTCAGTGCTGTGGTTGGTACGGATTTATAGTCTACTGCTAGCCACACTGTTAGCTGTGTTGTTGCAGCAAAAGAGTATTCTGAATGAGAACAGACAATACTTATAAGATGAAAGCCAGGACACTACAAAGAGAAGTCTATTTTGCTTCAGCATCACTATTTTCAGGTAATTCTGTGCCCAAAGACAAATTTCAAAATCCTCAGCATTCTATGTGTTGGTCATTTGGCTACTACAAACTTTTCTAATCTTAGTGGTAAACCCTAAGGATCCCTGGTGGTGCTGCAGGATAAGCATGGATTGCTAACTGCAAGGTCAGCTGTTTAACCTTACTAGTCACTCCACAGAGAAAGATGGGCTTTCTGCTCTCATGAAGATTTACAGTCTTAGAAACTATACCGAGTCACTATGAGGAGGAATCAAGTCGATGGCAGTGTGTTTGGTTTTGGTTTTTAGTAGTAAACCCTGTTCCCCGGCAACTTGGTTGACTTGGGTGCCCCAAGCATGCACAGTGCTTTCCCACCTTGGGCCTTTGCTCAGCTGGTTCAAGGATCTTACGATCAACTTCATCTGGGACTGCTTCCTCCTAGTCTTGCATGGCCCTAATAAAAGACAATGCTGTCCTTGAGTCCCCCAGCAGTGCTAGATCCTCCCATCTCCTTAGACTCCTATGGCATTCACCCTGTCCTCCTCTTGTAGACAGAATCACAATCTGCCTTATCTACTGTCCTAACTACGGTATCAGATTGGGAGTTTCCAGAGGACAGATGCTGGCTCTCTCCCTCACAGCGCCCAGCACACTCTGCTTCGCACTTGGGCCACTACGCATGCAATGCTCATCTCCTGGATGATTGATGGGTGCCTGTGGGCTCTCTTCATTCCACGTGTCTCATCTGTAGACACAACAGGAGGTTCTACAGCAAGGTGACCTTAGAGCTCGTTGCCTTCTTCCACCAAATCTGAAGGTGGAGGGATGAGGTCTCGGGGATTCATCCTGGCCACTAGGCAGACATCATAGCTGTCATGCATGAGGGCATTGATGGCTATAACATTCCATTGGTTTTCCCATGGGTCCAGCTCCAATATTTCTTTGGAGATAACCTCATGGCGATCTGAAAAATAGCATACATACATACACACACACACACACAAAACAAAATACCAAGGGGATATTAAATTCAGAGGTCATCATCACTGCTAAGTAATTTCCCCCAAAAGGGATAACACATAAAACCTGAAGGATATTTTTTATGAATAAAAAATTCTGGACAGTTCTGTATTTAATTTAAATTATTGCTTTAAAAATTTCATTTCATTGCTTCCTGGACTCCATGGTTTCTGATAAGTAATTGCGTCCTTCTAGTAAGTGTTCCTTCATATGTAAAGTGTTTCTCTGCGGTTTCTTTCAAGATCTTTAGTTTTTTGTTGTCTTTAATTTACACAAATTTGATTACAATGTGTCTTTTTTTTCCCTCCAAGTTTATACTGTTTATAGTTTAGTGAGCTTCTTAAATCTATAAATTCATATCATCAGTCAAATTTTGGAAGTTTTTCAGCTATTTTTTATGCACCCACACTCTTTCTCCTCTCTGTCTGTGACCTGATGACATTAATATCAGACCTTTTAATATTGTCCTAAAGGCTCCTGGAGTCCTGGTGTGGCACTGTGGGCTAATGGGCTAGACTGCAAAGTTGTTTGAATCACAAGATTGGAAGTTCAAGCTCACCAGCTGCTCCTTGGAAACCCTATACAGAGTTGCTATAGGTCAGTCATAAATGACTCGCCGGCACTTTATAACAAAGTGCCCCTGAGGCTCTGCTGACTATTTTTTTTCTGTTATTCAGATTGGATAACTTTTGTCTATCTTCAAATGTAGTTACTCTTTCCTGTCCCTGTCATCTCCACTCACTAATTTTTTTAAATTTCAGTTAATTTTTCTTTTCTAAAACATCTACTTTTTTGTAATAGCTTCTGTTTTTCTTTTACGCTTTCTATCGTTATGTACTTTTCAAAAGTGGCTGCTATTACTCATTGGGGTACCATTGTAACAGCTGCTTCAGGGCCTGTGTGTCTGGTGGTGGTGGTTATGTGCCACGGAGTTGGTTCCGACACAGCGACCCTGCATAGGGTTTCTGACGCTGTAAATCTTTATGGGAGGGCCTACGTCTAGTTATTGCAAAATCTGCACCATTTTGCTGTTGCCATCTGTTTTTTTTTTTTTTTTTTTTCTTGTGATATTGAGATTGTTCTGGGTTTTGGTATATTTAATATTTTGAATGATATAATAGATACTTTTAATATTATATGTATGATTTTGGGTCTTTAAAAAAATCTGTGGAAAATATTGATTCCCCCCCCTCCCCCCCATTAGCAGAAAACTGACCCAGTTAGGTAGGTTCAAGCTACAAGTTCCTACCTGCCTTCTGTGAGCTGTGGCTCCAATGTCAGTTCAGTTTTCAGAGCCAACTTTGCATTGTTATTTGGATCTGTTTCATACACATATGACCCAGTGGCCTGGCTGTGTATGGCTAATCATGCATGGGCATCTTGGAGATGATACCAGGAGTTTCCTTAAGCCCAAGCCTCTGCAAACACACCAACACATTACCAATTCCAGGAATATCCTTACTCCCTCTACCTGGTTATCTGGCTAGAAAATTAGAGCTTTACATTCCCTGTTTTGCTGCATAGTTTCCATGGCTGTTTCTGCCTCCAGGACTAAGTGATGACTGGATTGAGAAAGAAAAGCAACAAAGACTGTACTAGTTTCCTAGGGTTACTGTAATCAATGATGAGGTGGGTGACTTAGAATAACAGAAGCTTATTTCTCCTAGCTCTGGAGACGCCAAGTCGGAAATCAAGGTAGTGGCTAGGTCCTGCTCCTACTGAAGTCTGGGGGTAAGCCTTCCTTGCCTGTTTCAGCTTCTGGTAGCCCCAGGGGTAATTCGGCTTGTGGCACCATCACTCCAATGTCTACCTGCCTCTTCTCTGTGCCTTTTCTCCATTTACAAGGACACTGTCACACATTTTCTTTTGGTGCCACATTGCTGTCATTTATTGGAGGCTCAAGGAGCTCTGGTAGCGTAGTGGTTACGAATCGGGCTGCGAACCTTAAGGTCAGCAGTTCGAAACTACCAGCCGCTCCACGGGAGAAAGATGAGGCTTTCTACTCCCGTAAAGATTTACACCCTCGGAAACCCTGTACAGGGTCGCTATGGGTCGGAACCGACTCGACGGCACTTAACAACAACAACAATGAGCAGGGAATAGGTTCCTGCCCCGAGGTGTCACTTGCCACCACCGTCTTTTCTTTGTCTCAGGAAATCTAACTTTCTGCCCCAGGAATGGGCCCTCTACCTGTGGGCAATTTCATTCAATTCTCCTCATTAGCATCAAACACAAAAGCTGATTATTTAGGAAGACAAAGAAATAAAGAGCTTTGATTTTTTTTTTCTTTTTTCTTTAAAAAAGTAAGAGTCCTGGTATGGCACTGTAGGATCAGCAGTGGACTGCTTACTGAAAGATCGGCAGCTCAAACCCACCTTGGAAACCCTACACAAGGTTGCTATAAGTCAGAACCAACTTGACGGCACGTAACAACTTTATTGAGATATAGCTTATACCCTATAAAGTCCACCTTTTAAGAGTACATATAATCCAGTGATGTTAATACATAGTATGTAATTTATAGAGTGTGTAACCGTTACCGCTATCTAAAAAAATGTTTGTCACCTCCAAAATAACAATGTACTCATTAACACTCACTCCTCATTCACCCTCCAACTCCACAATGGCTGATATACAATCTCTCTAAGAATTTGCCTATTCTGGACATTTGTGACTAGCTTCTTTCACTCAGCATAATGTTTTCAAGGTTTGTCTCTATTGTAGCATGTACCTCATACCTTTTTATGGATGAGTAATATTTCTGGTAGCGTAGTGGTTACGAATCGGGCTGTGAACCACAAGGTCAGCAGTTTGAAACTACCAGCTGTTCTGCGGGAGAAAGATGAGGCTTTCTGCTCCTGTAAAGATTTACAGCCTTGGAAACCCTGTACAGGGTCGCTATGAGTTGGAACTGACTCCACGGCACATAACAACAACAATAATATTTCAGTGGAGTAATAGACCATGGTTTGGTTCTCCAATCATCCATTGATTTGGGTTGTTTCTACTTTTTTGTGATTATGAAGATTACTGCTATGAACATTCATGTGAAAAATTTTGCAAGTATATAGCTTTCAGTTTGGTGGGGTGGTGGTGGGTGGTGGTGGTGGTGTAGAAGCCATCCAGATATGCCTTGGGAGACAGGCCTGGTGATCTGCTTCTAAAAGGCCACATCCTTGAAAACCTGAGGGAGCAGCTCTATTCTGTACAAGAGTCGGAATCGACTTGATGGCAATGGACAACAATAATAGACCTGTTGTTTTTAAGCACCTTCGAGTCAAATTTGACTCCTCATGACCCTATAAAGGGTTTTTGAGGAGCAGCTGCTGGGTTTGAACCACCAACCTTGTGGTTCACAGTCCAGTGCTGATCCTATGGTGCCACACCAGGAGTCCAATAATAGGCCTAGGAGTGAAATTTCCAAGTCCTATAGCAGCTTTGTGATGCTGCAGGATAAAACACTGGACTGCAAGGTCAGTTTGAACCACAAGGTCAGTAGTTCAAATTCACCAGCTGCTCCTTGGAAATCCTATCTATACATGGTCCTTATGAGTCAGAACCAACTTGACGACACTTAACAAAAACAGCATGGCAAGTTTTCTGTTCAATATTTTGAGGAACTGCCAAACTATTTTCCAAAGCATTGGAAGGCTTCTCTGGGCAATGTTACAAAACTCTTCTGGGGTTACTGATAAATGCCTACAGGACACAGCCCTCCACCTCAGCCTGAGGAGCGGATGTCCTGACTGGAACAACAATTGTTTAAAAACCTCTGATGAACAAATAGAAAAGAAAGTTGAAATTTTTGATTATGAAAGTTTTCATGCATACACAAAGGCAATAAAATTACTTTTACCATGTATTCACCACCAGCTTTAACAATTACCAATATTTTGCCAATCTTTTAAAATCCATTTTCACTTTCCTCCTCCACTTAAAAAAAAATTTTGCTGGAGTATATTAATGCAAATTTCAGATATCATATAATTTTTACCCCTAAATGATGTCTGATTGTCAAGAACTTAAAAAAAAGACCTTCCTTATCTTTGTAAATCCATAATGCCATTATTACCCCTAATGAGGCTAACAATTCCATAATATCATCTAATATCCCAGTCCATATTCACATTTCCCAGAGTACAGGAAAAAAAAGTCTATTATTTTTACAGAAGATGTTTGACTCTAATACCAAGAAGGCCACTGAATTTTTCAACATAAAAATGGTTGAAATGGCAAATGTTTCACCACAAAAAGAAATGAAAGAAAAAAAATAAGGCCTACCATTGTATTTGGTTCATATATGTTCCAAGACTCCTGGAATTTGAAATGGATACTCTACATCTAATTTACATAATTATGAGCTTATAAAATGGATGTTGGTTTATAGAAGGTTCTGCTTTGCTACATTTTATCTTTATTCTATTTATTTTGACATTCTTCCAAAATAGAAATGTTCTTGATGCATGAACTGGCTTCATGTTCCCATTAATAAGGTTAGAATTGTACATCCAGTGATATTTAATGTAACTGCATTCTGCCTTATTTACTAATGCAACTATTCAAACACTGTTGATGTTGTTAAGTGCCGTCGAGTCGGTTCCGACCCCTATGTGCTAGATTTATGCATATTTTGAGATCTCCCTATTACATTAAAATTATGAATTCAAACTGTAGAACACAATGTTGGTGCATTTAGATATCTTGAAAATAAATTCACTTGCATTTGTTGTTGTAAAATGCTGTTGAGTTGTTTCTGACTCACAGCCACTCTGTCTGTACAGAGTGTCCGAGGAGCAGCTGATGGGTTTGAACTGCTGACCTGTGGTTCATGGTCCAGTGCTTGTCCTATGTTAGAATTGCTTTCAAGCACTTTATTTCAGGTGGCAGTAAAGGGCCGAATCTCTTTCTCATAAAGGCAGAAAACAACTCTGATGCTTCTCGTCATTATATCCACTAGCACCTACTCCTCACATTTAAAATCTCTTCTTTAGTCCAATAATCAGTCACAAATCTTTCTGTATCATTTCTCTTCATACACCACCACCAAACCCACTGCCCTCAAGTTAATTCTGACTCACAATGACCCTATAGGACTAAGTAGAACTGCCCCATAGAGTTTCTAAGACTATAATCTTTATGGAAACAGACTTCTGCATCCTTCTCCCATGTAATGGCTCTTGTGTTTGAACTACCAGTCATTCATTTGGTTAGCAGCTGAGCGCTTTTAGTCACTATACCATTGTTGTTTTTAAGTGTCGTCGAGTCGGTTCCGACTCATAGGATTTTTTTGAAGAGCCGCTGGTAAGCTTGAACCACCAACCTTGCAGTTCAAACCGACCTGACAGTCCAACGCGTTAACCTGCAGCACCACACCAGGGTTCCACTGTGCCATTAAAGTAATCTAATACTTATTGGGGATGTGCTATGTGCCTAATGCATAATAAATTGTTGTTGTTGTTGTTAAGTGCCGTCGAGTCGGTTCTGACCCATAGCGACCCTGTACAAGGTTTTCCGAGTGTGTAAATCTTTACAGGAGTAGAAAGCCTCATCTTTCTCCCACGGAGCGTCTGGTAGTTTCGAACCACTGACCTTAAGGTTCGCAGCCCAATTCGTAACCACTACGCTACCAGAGCTCCTTGATGCACAATAAATTAGATCTCCTTTAATTCTTATAACAGTCTGTAGATGTAGTTGTTGCTAGGTGTCATTGAGTTGGTTCCAACTCATGCTGACCTAATGCACAAAAGAATGAAACACTACCTGTGCCATCCTCACAGTTGTTGTTATGCTTGACCCATTGTTACTGCCACTGTGCCAGTTCCTCTTGTTGGGGATCTTTCTCTTTTTTTCTGACCCACCATCTTACCAAGCATAACATCCTTCTCCAGGGACTGTTGCCGCCTGATTACATGTCTGAAGTATGAGAGACAAAGTCTGGCCAGCCTGGCTCCTAAGGAGCATTCTGGCTGTACTTCTTCCAACACAGATTTGCTTGTTCTTCTGGCAGTACTTTCAATATGCTCCTCCAACACCATATCTCAAATGTACCAGTTTTTCTACAGTCTCCCTTATTCATTGTCCAGCTTTCACATTGTACAAGGCTATTGAAAATACCAGGACTTGGGTGAGGTAGCAGCTCCATTGTATAATTGTGAAAACCAAAATTCAAAGAAGTTTAGTGAGTTGCTGAGGAACTCCAAATTCTAAAGGCCATGCTTTTCCGATGTCCAGTGTCCACACACATACCTCTCTCCGGAGTGTTCATTAGTGATTGGATTAAGAGAGGTTAAATCACTACTAAAGGTTACAAAGCATTTAACGGGGATTAGTACCTGCTCCATGGAATCCTCCACAGACATACAACTTCCCATCCACTGCTCCTGCATTTGTAGAATTGGTTCGAAGGGAGAGGAGGGGACTTGGCATGGGTGGGCCTTCTCTCCAAAAATCCCCATCAGGGTTGTAGATCTCCACAGCATCAAGGCATTTTCGAACCTGGCCCTTGTCTCGACCTTCGCAGCCAATCCCACCTACAGAGAATGATACGCAGAAATGCGATGACTAAGAATTTGAATCATGTATTGTGGCTAGTATCTCTTCCTTGCTATTGTTTGTATCACAGGCTTATGGGTCTTTGACTTTCTTTGCCAGACTAAACATTTTGAAGTAATCATACTGTCTAGTCTGTACTCCATAGGAAAACCTAATGTCTCTTTTGCTCTGTTTATGCTTGTGTATGAAACTGATTCCACTGCAGGCCATATATTTTACAATATCCAACTCTGGTTCACAGAATGAGCAGGTGAACCCAATTCTCTCTGACATCCGTCCTCCTGTGAATCATTAGGAATGATTTTGCTGTCTCTCCTTGTCTTCCAAAAGTTGCACGTTTTATAATTAGGGAAGGTCCCTTTTTTATTTTGGTTAAAACCCAAACTGAAATGCCCAGTGGATCTTCCACTTTTGGATGATACGTTCACTCAACAGATAATGACTTCCTGTTACATACATGGCATTGTGCTAAGTGACAAGGAGTTAAGAAATATGAATAAGGTATGTTTCCTGCCCTCAAGAAGTTAATGGGCTGGAAGTGGCCATTATGCAAATAAATAGAGTAGAGGACATTATGACAGGTATCTAAAGAGAGATAGCAATTAGATTTTGAAGTCCAGAGACTGTAGCAAGTAACAGAAATATCATACTTAATTATGACTTTAAATACAACTCTCCATGGGAAAAAGTTACTGTATAAGAATCTCTAATAAAATTGTTCTCCTAAATTCTAAAATGAATCAAGGTCAGGGCCATATTTCCTGACATTAAGGAGACTGAGGTGAATTCCCAGGAAGAAGGGATACTCCTGTACTTCTCACAGATATAAAGTCAATTCTGACTCATAGTGACCCCTGTATATGGTTCCTGAGGCTTTACAGGAGCAGAAATCCTCATCTTTCTTCCGAAGAGTGGCAGGTGGGTTTGAACTATCCTTGTGGTTAGCAATCCATTGTTTACCCTACAGTGATACTCATTTCATCAATGACTAAATTCCATCTAGGTTTGTTGCTTTATCTGTAGGACCAACCCAAAAGACCTGAAAGTGTTGGCCTCTGCTAAACCGGCTCTCTTTCCCCTAGAGGTCGGAGAGGTCACTGCGTAAGTGGAATGTTCACTGGTGTTTGGATACATTGTTTACAGCAGTATCAAAACCAAAAGCACGAACTACTTTATTTCATGGCACTTGCCCTATGTATCATTTATGGGAAAATGGGTTACACAGGCTTCACAGTATTTCTAATTTTCCTTGCCAACTGAGCTACAGTGTTTCTAAGCAGGGGACAATGCTGGCTTCAGTCAGTTACTGCATAGCCCTGTGGTTTATTGGGCCCTCTTTCAATGTAACACTGTGGTAGCCAGAGGTTTCTTAGCTCAACAAGAAGTAGAATTTCTTATTTGTGCAGCAGAGGCCTTACAGCAGTTGAACCCAGCACCAACTTATTCATCAAGTATGAATAAGATGATTTAGTGATCTGAATCTGCAGGACTCAAGAGAGATTATTAGACTGGCTTGCATTATGTAACTAGTAAGTGGAAGCAAACAGGTTTACTGAAAGGCACTGAAGTTAAACTGGGGCACATCCAGAACCACAATCCTGAATCTAACTCAGAAGTTTTACATAAAAGCTCAGAAAAGCTTTTCCAACAGAATGCGTAGAAAGAATGGACATTCTCTTTTAACTTTTTTGGAGTAATTAGAATCCTTATCATTTTGTTGCTCTGTTACCAAGTATATTTAGTGATCACATTCAGCCCTTACTCTAGAAAACTAACATTTTAAAGATGTGCCATTTCTGTTTGGATGGCAGACATTTCCTGTGCTTCACTGGAGCAGGCTTACAGGGTACCTGGTCTTTGTTTCTGACTGTTAATGCTTTAACACATTTTCTGTCTCACCTGGATGTAATTCTGCCATCAAGTACATTTTCAGTGTCACTTACTAGCTGCAGACTTAATGAGCTCAAACTAAGGTGAGGCTTGATTAGATAAATAATCATATAAAGGCATGATCTTTATTAATAAGGCAACAACACCAGCACTACAAGAGAAATCTTTTGATGAGAGAAACCCCAGGGTAGGATCAGCACATCCTTAGAATTTTAATGAGATACCTCCTTATCTTTAATTTACTTGCCAGCAGAACCTCTGAGCCCAACTTTTCTTTATTCAAAACCAGACAAATTAATGGAAATTATCTTTGTGATTCATACCCCAAATGGATTTCAAATGCAAAATATACACCTCTTTAGGGGTCTGGGAATGGGAAGAAAATTCGAGAAAATGCCTTCCTCTCCCTGTTTCAATTTCTTCTGTGGCTGAGGGAACACCTCTCTCTAAATAAGACCTCCTAGCACAGAGGAATTTTGTCACACAAAGTCTGGCAGGAGAGCAGTTATACTTCTCTTATATTCTCAAGGACATCCTACTTATGTGCCCTTAAGTATAATGGTCCTTGGGTTCCCCATGCTCTTCTGCCTTAGGGTTTGCCTTGAGATAGCAGGCTTATTCTATTCTCCCCTGGGCTTGTGGAACAGCTGATCCCCCCAAAAAGGGGAGGGAGAAAGAGTCATGTTCAAGGGATATCGTGATAGTTCTGACAAGCTTCCAAAGGTGCTTGCATTGCTAACCCAACGTTATTGTTAAGTGCCGTCAAGTCAGTTCCGACTCATAGTGATCCTGTATTGGGGTTTCCGGGGAGCGGCTGATGAGTTTGAACCACCGACTTTGCTATTCAAACCACCCTGCGGTCCTGTGCATTAATCCATAATGCCACATCAGGACTCCAAACCAGCCTTATGGACACATATAATTATACTACAGAAAAAGCATGTGGGCTTTTGGAAACCGACAAACCCTAGTTCAACTCTCCGTGTCACCACTTACTAGCTGGACAACTTTGGTCAATTTAATTTCTTGAAGCCTCAATTTTTCATGTGGTAAACTAAGGATTAATAATACCCATTTAATAAATTATTACAAAGATTAAATTATGAGATAAGTATGTAAAGGAAGGAAAGGATAAGGGGAAATTTACATTTGTTGCTCCTCTATTCACAAGCATTATTATAGGAATTTTCTTCTATGGACGTATGCTCATTTACTACAAACAAACAAAATGACTTGCATTTAGTAAAAACCTATTTGCTGTTGATTGAACTTTGACTCATGGCAACCTCATGTGTGTCAGACAAGAACTGCGTGTCATCAGGCTTTCAATGGCTGCTTCCTCACAAGTAGAGTGTCAGGCTCTTTTGAGGTGCTTCTGGGAAGATGACCCTCTAGCCTCTTAGTTAGCAGTCGTACATGTTAACCTTTTTAGTAGGTACTCAATAAATGTCCATTCCTTTCTCTATGTGCCTTTATATTCCTTCAGGTGCCAAGCATGTCTTTCTCCAAAGGATGCTTAACAGTCTTTGTTGAATAAATACTAAAGTAGAAAGATCACAGTAAATCTTTGGCAAATTCATCTTATGTTTATATAAAACAATGGCACTTAACAACAACAACAACAACAACAATGGAAGAAATTTAACACATTTTACTCAAAATAATAGAATTTCTTGGACAGTTGATATTTGCTTCTTAAAAGCATCAATTTTTTTGCTTCAACTTCTTATGATGTTTAAAAATGTATGTTACATTCTTCTATGCCTTAGTGAACTGAAGATTGCTGTTAAGCGCTATCAAGTCAGTTCCAACTCATAGCAACCCTTCATAAGGTTTCCAAGAAACAGATGGTGAGTTTGAACTGCTGACCTTATGGTTAGCAGTCCTGTGCTTATCCAACAGTGCCATACCAGGACTCCTAATTGAAGATATCAAAAGAACAACTTCTTAAGGATTCAGGGCTAATGATATGAGTTGTTCTTATAATATATCATAGCTAGAGATGGTTGGAAACATTAGGTTATATAAGGACATCCCTTAGATTTGCTTTCTTGAAAAAATTCTTGCAACTGGGTTGGCTTTTTACAGTTTGCCTCCTTACCATAAAAACAAAACACAAAATAAGAGTTGCATAACTTTCTGGCTATGTAACACTATGCTTTCCTTCGAACACATATAACTAAATCAGAGAATATCTCAACAGCATTCTCTTATTTTTTATCTATTCTCAATCATATTACCATCACTGTTCTTTGGGGGATTTCATATTTTAGAAGCTTCCAAGCATCTATAGTTTCAGAATAAATAAACTCACTTTGAACTTCTAGTTAATTTTAAGCACTCTGTTAGTATATTTGGGATATTCACTTTCAGTTATATTCCAATTATATTCGGTGTCATGGGATAACAACTTTAAGAGTTTTTTGTTTTGTCCACAAGGCTTATGTAATAAGTGCTTAGTATTTTGGCAAGGGTGTAAGGTCCTTTCAGCTCATAAAATAATTCAGTCTGCTGGAAATCATAGGCAGATAAATACAAAACCATATATAATTGTTGTTGTTGTTGAGTGCCACTGAATTGATTCTGACTCATAGCAATACTATAGTGTTTCGGAAGAGTGACTGACTGGTGGCTTTAAACCAGCAACTTTGCAGCTAGCAGTCCAGAAACCATCCTACAGTGCTACACCAGGAAAACATTGTAATTATATGCTGATTGAAAAAAAGTACAATTTCTAACTCATTGTCACAATGAAATGTGGAACTACTGACTATGAACTTTTAGGACACCAATGATAAAGACTACAGCTAACTTGCAATTGGACAGTTCTGGTGTGGACTACAAGATTGGTTTGAACTGCATGGTTGGCAGTTCAAACTCACCAGCTGCTCCTTGGAACCCTATTGTTGTTGTTGTTGTTAGGTGCCATTGAGTCAGTACCGACCCATAGTGACCCTATGCACAGCAGAACGAAACACTGCCCGATCCTGGGCCAACCTCACTACTGTTGCCACGCTTGAGTCCATCAATGCTGCCACTTGGCCAATCCATCTTGTTGGGGGTCTTCCTCTTTTTCTCTGACCCTCCA